GGTTAAGTTAGTAGCATTTTAAAGACATTAGACAAGACTAGATTGGAAATAAAGTCATTGACTAAACTGGGATAAATTTTTATTAATATGCAAAGCTTCAAGAAAATGCAATTCCCTAATAGAACCAGCTTTCTGGATAATTTTAGCAGAACCAAAATCAAAACTGTGATTGAATTTCCAACTATGATTAGCTATTAACAATTTGTTAATTTCGCCTCTTCGGACGTAAGATTCATGTTCCTTTATGCGAAAATTTAATGCTCTTTTTGTTTTGCTAATATAACTTAAGCCACACTGACACGATATGCTATAAATTCCCCAAGAATTAAAGTCAGAAATAGAACTTTAAGAACCGATGATTTGAGAAATTGAAGGTCCGGTTGAACTGAGAATTGGAAGGCTTGATTGGAATTGAAGGTTGATTGGAAGGTTTGAGGAATTGAAGGTTTGATTGAAGGTTTCAATTGAGTAATTGAAGGTTTGAATGAGGAATTGAGGAACTGAAGGAATAACTTCATGAATTGAAGGTTTGAGGAATTGAATCTCTCAGAGGATCAAATGAATGTATTAAAATATAACTTTAACTTTTCGAAGTCATCGATACCTTCAATTCCTCAAATCGTCTCCCCTATTGAAAAAGCTTTTAAATTCTTTAAAATTTCAGAATCACGAAAAGATACAATTCGCCACTTAATTACTTATATTGTGAATTTTAACAACAACTCATTTGTTTTGAATCTCAACCAAAAAGAAAAGAAAGCCTTACGTGGAATTCCTTCTAATCCTGATATTATTATTTCGAAGATTGATAAGGGTGGACAAATTGTGATTATGGTAAACACACATACATTAATGGGGCCACGAAACTGATAAGTGAAGGCCCATACTGCTCCTTCACTAAAGATCCCTCAACTTCTGACCTCACAAACGTTAAAACAGCTGTTCAACCTTCTCATGCACATTCGACTCAGCTTAAGAAATCATTCATTCCACCTATTCCTAACTGTGAAAGATTTTATGCTCTCTCCAATATTCACAAAACTGGAATTCCTTTTCGACCTATAGTTTCCAATTTAGGAGCGGCCTTTGGACAAATATTTTCGTATTTTCTCCTTTACTTTCCAAAAATATTCACACCGTAAAAAATTCTTTCGAAGTCATCGATAAACTTAAAGATATTTCTCCTTTGCACTCTAGTATGGTTTCGTTTGATATTAAATCGCTGTTTTACTAACGTTCCAGTCGAAGATGCACAAATAATGCCTTGAAACTAGACTTCGAGAATTCCATTTCTCACATATTGAAACTGAAGATTTAATTTTCCCCACTAAATTCTCTATACGTCAGACTCACTTTGTTTTCCAAAATGAATATTATCACCAAATTGAAGGACTAGCTATGGGTAATTCCCTCATTCCTGTACTTGCTGACATTTACATGTACTATTTTGAGGTCAAATTATAAAACTATTTTTTCGTCTGTGGATTCGCTACGTAGACGAAACTTTCGCTTTTTTTTTCTTTAGAGTGATAAGGAAGACTTACCTCAGATTTTATCTGTTATATATTCGATTGATCCAGCCATTCAGTTCACTTTTGAGACTGAATTTGATAATATACTTCCCTTCCTTGATATTCTTATAATCCGCAATGGATCTAATTTCAGCACAACTGTTTACCGTAAACCCTTTTCTGTTTGTTTACCTCCTCATGCTAAGTCATGTCACCCAGCTAAGCAAAAAATGGCTTCTTTTTACTATTATGTATTTCGAGCTCTAAACTTTGTTCTTCAGAATCTCTTCTTGCTTATGACCTCAATTATTAAGATCTGTTGGCCTTGACCGAGGATTTTTCTCCAGTAGTCATTGATAAAGCTGTTTGAATGTTCTCTTCGTGCCATCTAAGAACACATTCTGATATTAGAAATAACATTAATAACCTTGTTTTGCTTCCATTTCATCCTTCTATCAGTTACAATATTGCACGGATTTTTCACAAGCTGAATGTTCAAGTTGTTTTCTTGCCTATAAATAAAATCCGAGGTTCGGTTCTTAAAGTTCTTAAAGTTCAATTCTGACTTTAATTCTTGGGGAATTTATAGCATATCGTGTCAGTGTGGCTTAAGTTATATTGGCAAAACAAAAAGAGCATTAAAGTTTCGCATAAAGGAACATGAATCTTACGTCCGTAGAGGCGAAATTAACAAATTTTCAATAGCTAATCATAGCTGGAAATTCAATTACAGTTTTGATTTTGGTTCTGCTAAAATTATCCAAAAAGCTGGTTTTATTAGAGCATTGTGTTTTCTTGAGGCTTTTCACATACACAAAAATTTATCCAGTGTATTCAATGACTTTAATTCCAATCCAGTCTTCCCAAATGTCTTTAAAATGCTACTAACTTGACCCTTTATTTTTCATTACTATTTCTCTCGACAGATGCCGCTATCGGTGCTCCCACTGGTAGCCTGTAGGATATAAATATGATCGACATTCGCTTTCTTGTTTTTGCAGAAATATTTTTGCTCCTGATGAAGGGGGGGACACGTTTTGCTCTCGAAATTGATTGGCATTTTGCAAAATCTACGCCGATTACAAGGTTGTAGATTTGCCTGCTTTATAATCAGTTGGTTTATTGAGGTCGATTTTTTTATTTTCCCAGACATTCTAAGGTATAATGTTCTGGATCTCCCAAGTGCCACAGTCACATAGATTGGTCCAGTGAGGAACTCGCTATCCAACTCGTTTTACCCTGCAAATTCGTCGATACTTTTGGAACCGTTCTGAAGGCTTTTCTTCCAGTTAAAGCTGTTTCCCATCTCGTTTGCCACTGCTGCATCAAAGATAGCCATGTAGAGGCTTTGAGATGCGGTATCGGTAGTGGGGCTTACTTCTCTTGTGCAAATTTGGACATAGTTGCTTCTTTCACCAAATGGACAGCAATTTCATTTCCATGAATTCCCACGTTTGTGGGAACCCGAAAAAATGAAGACTATTTGAGGAATGAAAATTTAACAATCTTGCTGTACCTCACGAACCACACTCTTTTCTGGTCTTGAAGTTACAGAGCGCCGTTAAGCCAAAGGCAAAATCTGAAACGATTGAGACTGAATGTTTATTGCCATATAAGGCTGCTACTAGTCTGGTTGCTTTCCTCAATGCAACTAATTTGCGACTAGTATTGTTGATTTCCTCAATTCAACTAATTCGCCTCGGTAAACTGAATTACCCGCTCCTAATCTTCTTCGGCATGAATATATCAGGTGAATATCGTCCATTAGGCAAAGCCAACTTTCCGTGCTATTTTCCATTTTAGAGAATATCTTAAACTGTGAGCTCCAATGATATGCTTTAGATGAACAGTATCCGGAATATCGGAAACTGTTGGATGCCATAGGTCTTTAAACAATGGTGTGGTATATTCTTCTGGAGAATATAAATGGCCCCACAGAAGCTTCAATTTCTGGAGTCTCAAGCTTCCCTTTTAACTAGTAAGTCAAAGGGTGGTATTTCCGAGATTACTTCTACGCCTAGAGTTGGATAAGCTCTTGTTAGGATTAGCAGTTGCTGACGTTGAATTGCATTAAGAAGTTTTCTTTCTTTTTGGATAAGCTTTGTCCCACAGATTGAGGCTCCGTACAGGACATCCAGGTTTTAAGAAAAGCTGCAGGGATTCCCCAGCTTGGTTGTGCAACCATTATTATTGAGTTTTGTTTTGCCTGAGATGCGGAAGCCACGAAAGTCAATTGTTTATGACAATACCCAAGTATTTACGATTAGTTACAAAATCGATAGACTGACCCGAAATTTTAATACATGAGTTTCTCTTTAGTGCTTGACATCTGCCAATTAGGAGTGATTTAGCTTCGGCTGCAGAAATTTGCATTTTATGTCGAATGGCGCAGTTTTGAAGTTGAAAATACAGTGCTGTCCCTTAGTCTCAATTGATGACCGTCCTGCAATAGAAATTGCAAAGTCATCAGCATAAAGTATCACGTGCACATCCTCTAGACCTTCAAATTCACGAAATGCTGTTTTGGCTAATGTATTCCACAGCAGAGGTCCCAGGCAGGAGCCCTGCGGGCAGCCTCTTGAGACGTTCTTCTTAGATATCGAACTGCTTGTGGAAACTTGTACACGACGATCTGTTAGCTAACTGCAAATCAGATGTCGTATTGATGCTGGACATTTTATAGATTTTAAAATATTAAAGACATTCGGCAACCCTGGATGTCCAAAGAGATCACTATTGTATGCATATTTTTATCCTTATTTGAGCTTATTGTTTGCAGAAGATCTTTTAGTTAATGTTCTGTTGATTATTTTTAAAATCCATATTGCCGTTCACTGAAGAATTTTATTGAATCCAGGAAATGGTGAAGTTTTCTAGTAAGTAACAAATTTGACGTTTGAAGTATTCCGCCTTTATGGTCGGTCGGTCATCACACAAGAGCAACTGAGAGTTACTGCGAGCAACCTCCGCCTTTATGGTGCAGTAATTTTAACAGGTTGGTGTTGGTTGGTGTATTTAATTATGGCAAAGCACACTAGGGCTATCTGCCTAAGGGGAGGGATGCCTTTCGTGGAGGACTTTCTAAGGGAAACTGGCTCGTATACACGTTACACATGGGGAAAACCACGAAAACGCCCATGCAGCCAGCCCTTTCGCGGGATTCGAACCTCGGACCGAACTACCAGTGTTCAGCGACTTTACCGCTGGGCCGCTGGTGAGCCCCGTAATTTTAACAGGAATAAGTTCCATCTTTAATATATTTGGAAAAAAAAATTAACAGTTTCGATGCATTTCACTGTAAGCTCACAAAGTTCGTATTTAAAAGTCAACCTTCCATTTCACCCGCTTTTAAGCTCACTAGTTTGTCCTCTATATGTCAAATGGGATTTATTTTAGGATAGTGGAGAGAGAGCTACTGAGGGATAGGTCTATCTTCTATTTCGACCTATTGCATGGCAACATGTTTCGTCCGGAAATTTGTTATTTTTCTAGTATTTTTAAGAGTTGTGTTTTGGAGTTTCCGCATGCATGGCGCAAAAATTTGGAAAGAAATAAACACTTACTTCAGCTATGATACATGTTACGTAGCTGAACGTTATTTTTTAAGCGCCAATCAGCTTTCTTTTCAACTGATGCTTTATCGCACGTTTGTTCACAATCGTCAAAATGCATTCGATTGTTTCTGTTTTAAAGATTATGATTCGCTTGAAATCCAGTTACCTCCCACTAATTATAATTCGTCAGGTTAAGCGCACAGTGTTATTTTCACAACTGTTTTGCTGAATGGGGTGCAAAAAGCTATGACTTTGCAGCTGATAAATTTTGAAAGGTATTTTCAGCTGTTAAAATTTGTAGGTTACGTATGTGTAATCACTTTAGTACTTAATATTAACTTGACAGTTTTGCATATTGCTTTTTGTTGAAATTTTAATCACTCTTGAATGTAGTTTTCACACTTCACGTATTTAAGCTAATAGTGTATACAATACAATAGTTAATGGTGTATACAATACAATTCACATAATATGGATCAAGTGTAATGCATTTCATTATTTAGCATAGGTAATTTTAAGGGGGAGGAAAGCAGTCTTAAGAGAATTGATTTTCTTATCAGTTCTTTTAAATAATAAATCGTTAATGATTGTTCTTACCATCATTGATGAGGAAGGAATCAGACAACAGTATGAAGTGTCTATTTCATTTTAGTAGTTTAAAAATAAATGTTAATTAATAACTTTTAACAGTAATTAATAATATTAAATATACGATAAAATTACTATCATCTAGTAATGTATGAAACTTGATATCAGAATATAGAAAAATTTGCTTACATTTTTAGTTTTTCTCTACATTAATTTGACGATAAAATGTTTTCCCCTTATTCTCCTTATTTTAAATCAAATGAGAGTTTGAAAAAATACTGAGGCATTCAAATATGGTATGCACAAATGGAATAATTGAAAAAGATTTACATGCTTGCAAGGCAAGAAGTAATCATTATGCATCAAGTGTTGCATTATATTTTTTACAGCAGTCTGAAAGTTGTTTTATTTCCTTTTTTAAAGAAAATCTTAGATTGGTTGCATATCAACACTCAAACCACTATAATGGCACTGGAGGCTCAATCTGGACTCGAATGGAATGTAGCAACATATATCGTTATGGGACAAACAGTGCCGTTTCAAGTTCTAATCAAAATATCAGAACTTGAGATCCTTTTTGATACAAAAACTGAATGACAATCTTTTGTTCAATAGGTTGATTCATTTCATGGCACATGAGAATTGACAATATTGAGCTTCCTGTTTAATATGCTGGAAGGTCACTTACCATCCTGCAGGAGTCACCATACCAAAAAATCCAGCATTCTGCATCATATTTGAATGTCCTAATAGTAATAAAAGGTGTAAAATAAGATGTCTTAATGTTACTTAAAAAACACTTTTTTTCCCCATTTAGATGTACCGTAAAATTCAATCAGCTGTTTTGGGTACATGGACATTTTTTGCATCTCCCCATGCTATTGATGTTTGTGGAATAAATGGATTACCCTTGACTCCTAATTCTGTGCGTATTTTGGGTCAATTTCAGAAACTAAAAATTCTAGAACATGAACAACTGTGTTCTTACTTGGATGTGCAACGTGGTAAACATGGTATGAAGCATTTAATTTATTAAAAGTTATCATAATAATGTAATATGATTATGTATATGAATTAGAAACATAATTACAAATTGTATCTCCAGCGTACATTACCCTTCTTCAGATTTGCTAAAATTAGTCCTTAAATAAAAAGCAAGACAGGAAAATTTAAGAATACCATTTGATATGCAGAGAGCTGTAGTTTAATACTACAGCTTATTATATAATTTCTTCAATAAATACAACTGCTTTTAATTATGCATTGAAAATGATTCTAATGAAGAAAAATGTTTTAAAACATCGATATTTGTGTATTATCACATCGACAATGAAAGCAGGTGATCTTTCTGCCACTTGTGCCAGTCATTCCTGTGGAATTTTAAGAGAACTGATACCTCTTTATTTACTATCAATCAGTTGAAGTCTGATTTATGAATCAGACTTCAACCTGCCCTTTTTTTTTTTTTTTTTTTTTGTGCTTCTAGGAGAACAAACTTTCCACTGGTAATGATGGCAGTCTGTTACTGTTTTGTCAGACATATTCAACTGACCATATCGTGTCCATTAATATATAATGATATTTTTGACAGTAGTATCCCATAACTTTGAAAATAATCTATTGCTTACTGTTCTGTAAAAGGCATGTTCCATTTCAGTTTTTGTTTAATCATTTTCCTTAAAGTGCCAGGAAACAGTTAATAGGGAAAGTGTAGAATCACCCACAGCTTCGTGCGTTTCTCAAAATCACCAACTTGAAAATAACAAGGCAAAGAATTGCACAAACTCGTTACACGTGTACACATTGACCTATTTTCGCTTAAGAAAACGTCGGAGAATTGCACAAACTTTGCGTTGCACACTCCTTTAACTTTGTCCATGTACACATCAATATGCACTATATAAGTGGCTGATTCTGCATCAACTTGAAAATAACGTCAAAGAATTGCACAAACTCAGTATCCATGTACACATCGACCTATTGTCACTTAAAAAAACATCAGAGAATTGCACAAACCTGGCACTGCTTACTCTCTTGACTTTGTTCATGTACACATCAATACACACCATATAAGTGGGCGATTCTGCACTTTACCCCAGTTAATTTATATATTTGTTCATAAAAACAAAACATGGCTTATGAAGAATCAATTAGGCTTACATCAAAAGTGCAGATGTTATGAGTGTGTTGGTTCATCATACTTACCTATAGCTGGCACTAAATTGTGCCACTTGGGGACAATTTCATGGTGAACACAATAATACATAAGAACCAAAGCATCTCATTTTTCAGTGCTAAAACCACCTTATTGTTTAATAATTAAATTTGAAAAACAAAATGTGGATCAGTTTATTTCTTTCCTTTATTCCTGAACTGTAATTATATAATTTTTGTATGTTATTCGATTTATCAGTATACATTGACATATATTGATGTTAGATCAAATATCGATTATTTCATTTCTTATATGGTTTTGTTTTTAGTGAAAAATTCAATGATAGAGAACTTTGTAGTTCTACAGTAATCATCATATATATTGTTTCTCTAGTAAAATTCTTTTTTTTCCCCTTCCATTTCTACTCAATGAAACCTAGCAAAGTATTCAAAAAGAGCATTTGAAAAGTTCAAGCAAGGAGCTTAATGATAATATCATAAGATATAGGGTAGATTAGATGGACTTAACATAATGAGCACTGAACAATTTCTGTATGGATTATTAACCTGTGTTCAACTGAGCAGGACACTTGCATCTAAAGTCTCCAGATTACAATATAACACCTCAAAGGTGGATTTGTCTTAAAAAAATAAACCATATAAATTTATTAATAACTATATAAATATTGTGTATATTAACCATATAAATTATATTGATTACTTATATGACATTAGAAGCAGCACGGAATCTTTGATTTTTCTGATCTGGGGCAAAAGCTAAAGCTGCCGCCCTCACCCATCATCCTTTAAGTTTCTCTAACAAGTTTTAATTTGTTTAATAAATACAGAAATAGATAGGGTTTGAGGTAAAAAAACCTAAGCTCCATTTTCTACTAAATTCTTTACTTGCCTTTTTTTTTTTTTTTTTTTCTGTTATAAAAGAAAAATACGTACCAAAGTTACATAATTAGAAAATTGTCCCTTCCTAGGAAAATCGCCTTTCTGTGGTGCTTACTTTCAGATTCAATCCTAATCCTAACTCTAATTCTGAGTGCTTCTAACTCTCCAGTCCTCGTCACCATTCATTCTTTCGCTCTAGGGGGAACGGGCATCTTCTAAGTTTCTCACTATTCTGTATTATTGCATACTGGTTAAATTAGGTTAGGTTAGATTATATGAATATGACAAAGACAGGAGTGCTATCTGCTTAGAGGAGAGGTGCTTTCGTGGAGAAACTTTTTAAAGGAAACTGGCTCGTATTCACGTTACACATGAGGAAATTCATGAAAACAAAACATGCAGCTAGCCCGTTCTCCCGGGTTTGAACCCAGGCAAGGTCGAACTACCAGTATTCATCGGTTTTAATTACTCGGCCACTGCTGAGGACATTTGTTTGATTATTTACTATGTGTTTCGCCATTACGTATTGCAGGGAAAGGGAGGAATGCCCTGTGTAAAAATTGTTTGAGTATCTGCTAGAGGAAGGTGCTTTTGTGGAGGAACTTTTTAAAGAAAACTGGCTTGTATTCACTTTATACATGAGGAAATCCATGAAAACAAACCATGCAGCCAGCCCGTTCACCTGGGTTTGAACCCAGGCAAGGTCGAACTACCAGTATTCAGTGGTCTTAATCACTCGGCCAATGCTGAGGACATTTGTCTGATTATTTACAATGTGTTTCTCCATTAGGCACTGTATAGAAAAGGAGGAATGCCCAGTGGAAAAAAAATTGAAAGGGAAACTAGCTCGTATCTATGTTACACACGGGGAAAGTCACAGAAATGCTCATACAGCCAGCACATTCACATATACTTGACCCTTGGACCAAACTGCTAGTGCTCAGTGGTTTTTATTGCTCAGCCACCAATGGAAAAATTGCCAAGAAATGCCTATTGCCGAAAGGAAATATTCTGAAAAGATTATACAGTATATGGGCTATTTACTGTCTTGTTTTTCATACTTCCTATTTCATAAGTAATTTTAAGTTCTTACTTGCCATTACGCTATTAAAATATCATGGAATTAGTAACGAAAATAAAAATTTTACTCTGTAAGCCTTTTGTTCTGCAAATAAGTGCATAGAATCATCATAATTTGATCTGCGGTTTGATTTTCGGTTGCCAGAATCGCGAGACTTGATAAATGCTCCTGGCTCACCAATGATCGTAGATAATTTTTAATATGTTTTAATTTACTGAAACTTCAATCTGAACAGGTTGAAGTGTTCGTGATTCGTCCTCAAACAGTTCATCAGATTGCTTTTTGTGCTTTGGAATTTTTTCTTTGTCAGAATAGACTCAACTGCAATTTTTTTGGCTACTGTTTTAGATTCTTCTATCCAATATTCCATAGGATTTTTCTCTCATTTTTTATAATTCTTCAGTTTTGATCAGTTCTTTCATTAACTACACAGAATGCGGAAGAGGAATTCCTTTTGAATTTCTATACAGAGGCTGTTCACACATTTTTAGACGATGTACATTGCATTCACAAAACTAAATTACATCATATTCTTGTGTTTTAAATGTTCTGTTTGACATTCCTTATTCTGAACTATCTTTCGACACCACAATTTCTAGGATAATTATGCCTTTTGAAGTGGCAGAAGAGGTATTCTATCCCATTCCACCCGCACAGCTTTCCAGAGTCCTGTTAGGGTTTTGGGACAATGTTTGGATAATGCAGTTTTTAAAAGTCTGAAAGCACAAAAATCCATAGGTGACATATCGGGAGATTTAGTAGGGATATCAGTGAAGGGTATGGCCTTGATACCAGTTTTTTGTTCCATTTCTTTTAGGAAATTTACAGTGGATTTTGATGTGTGACTGCTAGCTTTGTCCTGATGGAGTCTCATAGATTGATGGCACTGTGGGTAAAGCGATGGTATTTCATTCAGAAAAATTGGTGATGAAATATGTTCCTGACAGTATTTGGAGTTAATCTTTGACATTTTTTTTTTTTTTTTTTTGCACTCTCTTTATTAAGAAAGAAACCTTTATTAAGAAAGAAAACTGTATAAGAAAAACCAGCAACAATCATGAATCCCTTAGAAAAACTTTCTTTCGATTCTTTGAACCATGTACTTAAATTTTTTTCTCCTCTTTTATGATAATAAATGGCTCTTTTTTTGTTACAATCATTTAAATACACCCATGCTTCATCTATAGGGACAATTGTTTTCGATTTTCTTTGGATAAGTGTTTCTCATATAGAATTCTGCAGCGTGTCCTGCAGTGAGCTATATGCTTTGGAAGAAAACGATGCACATTGTGTTTTTTCACTTTCTTAAGATTTAAATCAACTTTTATCATACAGTGGACACCGAGTGTTTTAATGATTTTGCAACTGTCCTTTGACTAAAGGGATTTTCTTTTAACATTAAACAACGTACCTTTGCAATAGTCGAAGATGTCCGTTTTTTCCTTGGATACTTGTTTGGAATTTTTGTCCCACTTGAGGCTCCAATTTGACATTTTTTTTTTCCTTTCTTGTTGATGATAGTACCTATCGATGCTTTAGAAAACACAAAATGACTCTCACATCATTTTTGGATAACGGAGTATGCATATTTCTCATCAGAAAGAGCGTAAATGTAGCCTTCGAACCACTGCTTTGTTAAATTCGCTATTTTGAATAGAAACAAAACTTTCAAGCCACAGACGATAATTTTGACTTTTAAAAACATAGTACAATTGCAATTACTTCTTTTGCAGCAAACGATTTTTTATTAACGCTTACCAAAATCGTCTAAAAGATGTGCGAACAGCCCCTATATTTACTCGATTGAATTCTGGAAAAATATTAGATCAAATTTTCAGGTTGATAGTAAATTCAAAATCTTTTACAGCATGTACCAGA